TATAGTTGATTATTAATAAATTAGATTAATAATTTAGTAACTCGATTAAACATTATGTACACATATTTTATACACACAAAAAAAAATTTAAATAATTTATTTTGTTGCTATATTCAAATCTTAATAACATCATTTATTTTATCAAGAGCAAGCAAACAGCTAAATAAATTAAAGGAATAGTGATCGGAATCGAAATACAGACCTATGCGTAGGTATAGGAAATTTTAAACAATTTTAATTTAAAATGTGTTGATATAAACTTAATGCTCGAGAACATTTAGTACCTGTAGAAAAAAAAAATTAAAAAACTGACGTCTTTAATATGTTGTCAAGTTCAACTGTGCTGACCGCGGTTACCATCATTACAACATCGTCATAGTTCTATAGTCATTGTCGGCTCAAGGTATAGGCGAGCTAGGCACCTGCCTAGAGCGGCACTATAGTAAAGGTGGCATTTTAAAAATTGACTCGTACATTTTTTTTAAGTTTTATCGGTGTTTTTTAAGAAGAATATTTAAATTGATTCATTCGTGAAAACTACTTACCTATATAATAAAATTATATTGTCTATAGTTATTATATTACTTTACGTCCTACGCTGGGCGTTTTCAATTATTCCAAAAATATAAATAATCACACAATCACTTCCGCGAGTTCCAATTGTCGCTATAGTGATGAGTTTTGAGTAATAATTATAGAAATCATTTTTAAGTATTTTCACATATAATTTTATATATAAAATTAAAAATTAAAATTTTTCTTGTATAGATGTGTTCCATAAAAAATAGAAGGGAGGGGCTAAGTTAAAATAAGAGCTCAATTTTTTTTAGTGGCGGCAAAATTTGATTTTGCCTATTGTAACTATTTTTGCTTGGGCCTGCCCTGTCTATAGTTAATCGCATATGCTGTGTGTACAGCAACGGAATCAAAGCATTACACGCTTTTTGTTTTTTTTATTTTTCCGATCCGGTGGTTTGAGCTGAAAAATAACAATAAAACAATATAAATTAATATCTATTTAAGCCGAATTCATTCATTTAAACTACGTAGTACGTCCTGTGCATGCGGTCGTTAATAAGCGTATTGCATGGCGAGTGCATAAAACAATATAGCACACGTAAAATTATTATATTGCATGTACTTTTATCTTACAGCAAAGAAAACATACACTCTCGCACACAATATAAATAAGTATATAGTGTAAAAACGTCGTCCGGTTTGCAAATTCTAAATAATAATATTATCAAATATTGTCATCACCATTGTCATCACAGTCGTTATAGTCAATAGAGTTTGAAACACAACGGTCGTCCGTAAAAAATAATAATAATTGTATAGTAATTGTATGTCTTCTATTATCATAATATATATTATACACAAACATACTCAGTACACTGCGCACTGTAATACACACTATAACGTGAAAATTGTTCCTTCAACCCGGACCGCATTTAAGGGGGCACTGGCTACAACTTCCCCAGGTACCATTTTTTTGAGGGTGCCAAAATTTTGTGGTCGGAAATTTCCTCACTTGTGAATTATTGAAATTATTTTTAAATTATTATTTTTTTTGTTTTTAATAACAGCATCATGAATTAATGTTAATTTATTTAATTTATTAATAATATATTATTAATGTATTTATAACAATGTAGCTATCAGCGATCCAGAATATTATTAATATACCTAATATTAGTTACCAAATTTGTTGTGATAATGTCAATAAACATAAATTATTTATAATAATACTGCGTATTATGTTATCGCGTGCGGCGTGCGGTGGCGTGCCTAGGAACTATACAAAAATAGCATTGATTTTAGAATATTTAAAAGGTTCATGAGGATCCTTGATATTGAAAAATATCAATAGTACGATCTATTTGATCTAGAATACCTACTTTATGATACGCATTGATTAGACATAATACTGATAGTCTATCTTCAGTCATCATTGAACGAAGCCAGGTTTTTAATCTTCGAAGTGTGGAGAAACTATGGCTATGGCTCCATCTATATACTTGTGCGTGTCGTATGATAGTACATATTATAATATGCATTTTTTGTTAACAATATATATTTTTATAAATAAGATACGGGCTTGGTAGGGGCCATGGCCCCTAGGGCCCCCCTGGAGCCGCCTCTGTGGGTAGACCCCTTAGGAGGGTGCCAATTTTATTTTTGCGCCGGGGCGCAAAATTTATAAGTGCGACACTGCCACCAACATTAAATCTCTCCATTTCACTCGATCCTGTACTAATTCTTTCCATTCTTGAACTCCCATTTGTTATTTTCATGCATGTTCAAACACATAAATATTAAAAAAATAAAGATACGATTGCATTATTTTTAGTCTCATAGTTTGAAACATACATTTTATTGGTTGAACATATTATTAAAACAAATTAAAAAAATAAACAAAAAAGTGCTAAATTAAATATCAAAAAGATTTCCACATCTTTGACACAGCATTAAAATCAAAAGTCAAGTTTGTTCGGCCTTTTAGCCATATCTTCTTCAAGTTCTGAACCAAGTCCCAGTCTTGCAAAGTTCAACTTGAGCCGCGCCAGTTTCCGAGCCAACCTCACTCACGCTCGTTCACCGTTCCTCAACAGGTTTCCATAATTCCATCATGTCCATAATTTCCGTTTCATCCTTCAATCAGTTTTGTCGTGTCTAAATTCATATCGGCCGATCCTTCCGATCCCGTCGTTGATCCTTCTTTGTTGTTCATATCGGAACCATCCTCTGTGTCGTCCATATCAACCTCCATAGTTTCCAAACTATCGTCCTCGTTGACTTCCATCCGTGCGGTCTATCCATCGTAACCTTAATCCTCGTCGACCTTCATCGGCTCGGAGACGATGCCGGTCGACCTCCATCGACTCGGAGACGTTGACGAAGTTCACCTCCATCGCCTTGAAGACATCTTCTCCAATATTCATATACACCAAAGTAGCACCGACGGTAATATGGACACTGCGAAGCAGCAAGGGATGCCGTACAAACCATACGTGGTCATCTAATTCCTACAAAAAACACGCAAGAGAACACGGAACTGTTAGTACGCAAGGTGAATGAACGTCAAACGTGTGACTTGCAATCGATATGATGTGATCGAATAGATCAGCGAATACAGTTACCCAAGCGCCGGTGTCGCGTTCGTCGGATCCGATGACTTGAATGTCGTGGGGCATTGGACGCAGTAACCACTAACGTAGGAGTACATCGTTTGGGAAAAAATGTAAAGCCGAAAAATACGGTAAATACAAAAAAAAACTATTATCACAGAAAAATTAACGGTTGTTAATCGATTGGAGCTCGTAGTATAGTGAATATTTGCACTCGCAATAATAAATCGGTAACCATTTTCCCGTGGTTACTTGTAGTCGCACCGAATAAATGAGCCCATATTGCGTATTTTCTTTGTGACCGACCACGTATGGCTGTTTACGAATGTACTTGTTAACACACATCAATTGATTTTTGTTAAAATTTCCGGAATTAATCTAAATTAAAATTGCAAACACATATTGAATGTTTTTTAGACGTCCGGACATTATATTGTTTAGTCGACTATATGATCATCGATTGACTATAGTACACGTTGATCGCCTTTAGATTTTTCAAAACATAAAATAGGTCCATGATTTTTTCATAAAATCATAGCAGTCATATATTATGATCTAAATAAAATATTACGAAAACAATACGTGCTGAAAGTTGTACGTCACTGTTGTTCTAAATATAATAAGTATTACTTTAGATACATGCGTTTATGAATAATGAAATCACATTTCTGTTTGATTGAAACTTTCAAATACTTTTGCAGTATAGTTTATGGGTACCAATCAAAATCACAAAATAATAATCATGATAGAGAAAATCGCAAAAAATAATTACAAAAAGGAAAATCCAGAAATTATTTAAAAGCGAAAACAATAATCGTCAAAATTAAAAATTTAGTATTTTGGTTCAGTTGATTTGAAAGAATATAAGTAATTTTAACCTCAGTCCTACAAATGCTATCTTTTGTTTTCTGTTAAATTCACCTTTATTTGCGTAAAACTTAATACTATGATTGTAACTAAAATGTTTATAATGCACTCAAAAGTTTAAATTAAAGTTTAAAATAAACAAAACATTTGACATGCTGTTGTGCTGTAAGTGTATAAATAAATAAAATGCATTGTTATTACTTTTTATATACATAGTTACTTCTGTGTATAATTATTATTTTTTAACCTAAAACAATATGTCTTAAAATTAAAAAAAGATTTATATTATTATGGAATTTATAATAAAATAATCGTTTTTATTTAATTAAAATAATGTATTATTAATCAAACCATTCATAGGTAAGTTTTTTTTTCAAAAAGTGTGAGAAAGTATTAATTTAATCCTCTATTCCAAAGGTTCCCAGCCAGGGTGCCGCGGAACTCTAGGGTACCGCAACTTAAATTTTGGGTGCCGAAAAAATATTTGAAATATATATTTATTTTTAAATGCCTTCATGAAAAATATAGCACTGTGAGTAATAAAGCAGACTATACTCTATGTCTATAGTATAAAACCTATTGTGTATAATTAATTAGGAATATACAATATAATTTAATGTATTAATTATATAACACATATCATTTTTATATAGTAATACAGAGATGTTCAATCTATTTTAATTTTCATACTGGTTTGATGGCTATCGATTATAATGTGAACTGTTTTAAAGTTATTTATAGTGAAATACTAGTTACTTTATCTTATCTTTATTGTTTATTAGTGCTAAATAAAACCGAAGTTACAAAATATACGACATATTACTATTGCGTATTTAGTATAATCTATAAAGTACAGGGCATATGCTATAAGGTGTCTCCAAATTTTTAGAAAATAATAAAGGGTGCCGTGAGTCAAAAAAGGTTGGGAACTCCTGCTCTATTCACAATTTATACTACAAAATAATATATAATAACTACCTACTTATTCTATATTTATACAGTGTCGGCCTGGCCAGGGCAGCGAGGCAGCGAACGCTGCCGAGGCCCTCACCTTTTTTTTTTTTTTTATTCTAGTATAGGCACCTCAAATAGTGATGGACGGGGACTTAATAGCCCAGGGTGCTAAGTATTGTTAAAGGCTCTTTAGGTCATTACATACATGTGCGATTAAATTTTGGTAATTGGGTCTCGCACAAATATATACAATTAATGAGCAAAAAGAGTTTAAAGGATAAAAACTTATTAACATTGAATATTTGAATACTTTCGGTTTATTGGAATAATTTTGTTTTTAAAATACAAGTATTCTCTAGGTGTTTTGTTGTCATGCAACATTAAATTCTCTTATCGCATCATAATGGTTTAAGTTTAAAAATACGAGTATTTATTATTTTTCGTAAATTATTTTTGTTCTATTTTTGGATACTACATGTTTTTCATAATATGTTAACGCTCGTGCAATATAAGATAACGATAATACGATGTATAAATATATTTATATTTCTTTTTATACCAGTTGGATTTTTATCACTTCTATAATAGTTAAATTAATATTTGTATACATACGGGGCACGGGCATTCGAGTGTGTAACGCGTGTTCCGGTATTAGTGACCAGTTTCGTTTTGTGTTTTGTGTAGCTTTATTAAAATTAACAAAAATGAATAAACAGAGGTTTCAAAGTGGACACGCCAAAAGAAAAGCGAAACAAAAGGAAGCCTTAATTGCTTGTGGAAACGACAAAAGTCAAAAAAAAATTTGCTTCTTCCCAACTATTAGACAAGGTAAGAATAAAATTCAAAATTATGTTTTATCTCACATGGTATACACTGCTTCTGCTAATTTCAGTAATTTCAGGTAATTCTAGTGTTACAAGTGATCCAGTTTTAAATATAACTGAAAATAATTCATCAGATTTTGAAAATGATTTGATACATGCCAATGGTAATAATAGTAAAAATTAAAAACTATGCAATGTGAATGTTAATTTATTCAATAAATAATCAAAATTGTCTTTTTTGGATAATTCTAGCACAGGTTGTGATATAGTTTTAAGTACAACTGAAAGTAATATAGCAAATACAGAAAGAAACATAACTAATAATACTGGTAAGTGGTGATACATATTATATAAATATATTATGTAACTACTAACTATTAATTATAACTCAACTTACTTAACCTTATTTATTATTGCTTATATTAAAACAAATATACCTATTGATTTAATTTTTATCTAGTTGTTGAAAAAAGTGTTGAATAAATTCAATTTTTATAGAGAATTAAATAAATGCTCTTTTAATATAAAAATTAATCTTATTTTATGCCAAAATAATTATTTTTTGTCTAAAATACACTCTCACAGTTAATATATTTTTGGATCATTTTTTAAACCAAGTTGTATAGTTTATACTAGTTATACAATATATATAATATATATTATTATTATTTTTTTTTTTAGTAAGCTACTTTTAATAATTTATTTGTTTTGTATAAATATGTACTACTTCTTCCATCAACTCAGGTAACATGTGAAAGAGTTTTTTCTAAACTTTAGTTGGTTAAATCAAAATTAAGATCTACTATAAGTCAAGAACATTTAACTCCATTAATGCTAATGAATGTCGAGAAAGATATAGAGATTGATAAAGAACATATTATTAATTGCATAGCTGGTTCATCTGATGCATTAAAAAGATTACTTACGTTATAAATAAAAAAAAATTATACTATTAGAATAATAATATAATGTGTTAAATCATTTATTTGTTGTTGTTTTAAAATTAACCAAGTCTGTTAATTAGTAGAATATAATTATTTAAATAGTGTATCAGTGAATTTAAGGAAATTTTATTAAAAAAAGAATAAGTAAATTTTAATACCTAATAAAGAGTATGTAATTCAAACTTGTATAAAATTCATCTATTTTTTAGTTAAAAGAAATATTATGTACACATTTGTTATAATAATAAAATAATAGTTTTATTTTAAATATATATTTTCTATAATATGTTGTGTATGTATGAAGTCTATATGTATGTAAGATATTACAAAACATGACTTTCAAAATTTCAACCCAATCTTAGATAAATTTTGATAAAAAAATTGAGGCCCTAAAAAAAACCCTGCCTAGGCCTTTCATAGCCCAGGCCGACACTGTATTTATATAATATATTGTATAAGTGGTTAAAGGAATTCGAAATGTCAAAATTCGACGGAAGTCTGACGCAATGGAGACCTTTTAGCGACAAATTCACATATTTTATACGTCAAAACAACAGTTTTGTTTGAATCAATCAATTTCAATACTTATTGTCTTGCCTTCCGCTTTCCGTTATCAACTCGTTATACATCCAGTCATGGAAGATAATTTTGACATTGCTTATGTGACTTTATCCAGGCGTTATAAAAACCAACGATTATTGGCCACAGCATATGTTCGCGAATTTAGTGTTGTTTTAGTTGTTTTAGGGCATACCGTAAACACATTTTAGCTCTTCGTTAAAAAATAGTTCAACGTCCCACTGATAATATGTTACGATATTATATTTATATTATTTATTATCTTTACACTGTGTTCATCAATTTAGGGAATTGCATTTCTTAGCAGGGTTATATTGGAATAAACCGAATATTTATTTCAAGCTAGTGATATATAAATACACATTTTTCAAAATGTTTATTATTTTGTTTTGCACATGGGCAGTAAACATGTTTTTTTTTAAAACAAAAACACCTATTTTGAAAACCATATTTGAATAAACCTATTTTTTAAAGTAATTTTAATGTATAATTCTAAAATCAAAATTGACTGAATAAGAACCATTTCAATTTTAAAAAATAATACATTTTTACGATTCATTCAAATTTCTATAACTACCTGTATTTATAATTATTTGTTATTGATTCCTTTTTTAATGTTTTTAAGGTTTTTTTTTATACTTGTTAATAATAATAATACATGTTTATACAAGATTATCATTATAACAATATACTAACAATTAACCAAAAAACCAAAAAATAGGCCAATGGTTTTAATTTATGATAGATGCAATAGAAATTCTCGTCAGTCAACAATTTACGCAACAAATATATACTGAACAATATCCAGGTCCGTACCATCCACCACACACCCTTTTTATTAAAATAGAAAAATTATTGATTGACTATGTAGCATATTCTATAAAAGTAGTCCGTAGACTACCAAAATTAAATATTATTAATGAAGATGTACATTGTACAACTTCAAGTTATAGCTTAAATCCACAATCTTCGGTTAGACTGTTGTAAAAATAATAATTAATAAGTAATTGTATATCCATATTATGTTAATTTTATTTATAATATGTATAAAAAAAAAACTTAAAAATATTCAAAAATTAACCAATAATTATAAATAGTTATATAGTTATGAATCGTAAAAATATATTATTTATTAAAATTGAAATGATTCTTAACTAGTCAAATTTGACTTAAGAACCATAATTGATACATCAATATTACTTTAAAAAAATAGGCCTATCCAAATATGAAGTTCAAATAAGTTTTGCTATTTTAAAAGATATGTTTTACTGCGCATATGCGTACTGAAACGAAAAATTGTTTGAAATTTATCAATAAATATGTTTTTATATACAACTAAATTGTAAAAAAAAATCGATTTATTCCAATATAATCCGCTCGAGAAAAGTAGTGTTCCCTAAATTGTATAGGTTATGATGTACTGATGTTATACTAGTATAACAGCTGTTGTCTGCTTCTGTATAAAAATATATTAATTATTTCGTTTATGCAAACATGTACGCACGCGTGTCGTAACACATGTGTTGATCAATTAAATAATTTAAAAGAATAAAATAATATTTCACTTGTTACCTAAGACCGGAAACGTAATTTCCATTTGGTTTTTTTTTCACAAATCGTACGCGCGCGCATAGAGAAAATTACGTCTGGATTGCAATTTATATTCCACGAGTCTCGCGAACAAGCAGCCAAGTTTATTATGTACATGCGAAACACAAGAAAATACAAATCAATAATGAAGTCGCATCGATCGTATCGTAAATGTATATACGTAATCGTTGAACACATAACACGTTAATATATGTAATAGATTATATGCGTTTGGCCAACATACAGAGTGATATTTTGAGCACGCTCATCCTCTTTTTTTTATTTCTCAAACTATTTGTTAAATGGAAAATATAAATGTGCTATAAGGTTATAATATCCAATGCATTTTTATAGCAACCTCTATATGAATATCCTATGCAGTGGCGAATTTAGACTTACTTCTAGGGGGGGGGGGGTGACTCAAATTTTTTCTTTAATTCAGGCTCAACATTTCCAAGTAAAATTGTTGGTAATATTTAAATCTAGTAAATCCTTAATATTTGTGGTTTTATTCTTAATCTAATGCCATATCCACTTAGAATCGACTTTTGTGTAGGTCTTTATTAACACCTTTCTGTGTTTTGAAAGTTTCGCTTGGGTTTTATTTGATTTTTCACTAAGTATGGACCCGACAAAAAGCCCAATTCAGTATTCACAACCACGCGTAATTTTATTTCATTATAAAATGATCCACATTAAAAAAATTTGAAATGTGTACCTCATATATAATCGATTCCTTAAATATGGATTCAGAGGGGAGGGGGGCGATCGCCACTTTACACAATTCGACACAGTGGCCCCAAAACTTATACTTATATGTATGGCGAGAATTCTTATAACCTAAACATCCACTCACTCACTCATCCACCCACCAACAGAAAATTTATAAATGTTCTAGTAAATGTAAATAATATATTCTCTGGGTATACAGTATACTTATCAGATATTAGAAGGGTACCAATCATAACTTGTTTTTATAACCTATTATTCAATAATTTTTCAGGGATTATATTTTTATTGACTTTAACTTTGTTTTAGTGTTTTAACCACGGGGTACCCCAAAATAAAATTGGATATGTATGGCGATCGCCATACATAAACATGGACTTCGGTGCCACTGCTACGAGGTGGCGAAAATTTAACATAGATATGGTTACCCTGGGGTGCAGATTTGTATATATTAACATATTTGTCATGAATGATGGTAATCGAATGATTCTTTTATATAAATATGTTTCAGATTTTTCTGAGTGTTTTAAGCTATGGTTGATACTACAGATATTTTACATATTAGATATTGTTTTTGCATATTTTTTCTCTAATTACATATTTTGATAAATATTCCCCTATTTTTAAAGAGTTTCCGTCATCGCCGTTAAATCTGTTTAATATGTATACACCATTAATATTAGATTAGATTATACCACGATATTAAACAACTGTGCTATGTATAATGTATGTATTATACTATAGTAATTTTTCTTATTTTTTTTCAGTGTTATACTATTTAGAAACAATAACAGAGAGTGTTAATGCCATCTTTTCTATATAATTTAAATTGTTTTGTATTGAACCAACATACTCCCGTAAAGATTTTAAAAACATTAATAATTTATTAAAATAAAACTTGAACTTCAAGTATTATGAATTTGGAAAAGGTACCTTCGTGGCTTTCAATATTCCTAGCGTCCGTGCTTAATCCGACCCTGTGTTACATTAAACATTCCACAAGAGTCAATCGAACATATTTTATTTACAAAAAAATATGTTTACATTTAAAAAACAAATATTGATTTTGCCATAGGTTACTGAAAAATATATAACAAGCCTGTGTATTTGGGAAACATGCAGTTTTCACAAATTGAAAAAAGTGTGTTATATGAACATAAATAAGGATGAGCATCATGCTTATAAAATCACGCTATATATATATATATATATATATTTGTGTGTGTATTTATTATAATGTGCGTATGTGAAGAAAATAAATAAAAAAATACTGCCTGTATAGTATGTTGCGATTGCAAGTAACAAAATAGAATGTTTAAAATGTGTTTTATTTTTTTTGTAGGTATAACGGGTACACACACGGGAGTATCTACTCGTATACGTACGATAATCGAGTGCTGGTTCATCTATCTGATTTACATTCATATCCTGATTTAATATTTTAATGTTGCAATAAATATAATAAATATGTAATATTGCAATAGCTTAAAATTACGCTCCTATTGTTAGTATACACTACAAATATTTGTTTGTCCTGTTTTCATTTGTCGTTCCGATTGAAACCAATATCGAATGATATTCAATATTCAAAACTATTTATAATCTACTGTTTATAAAATTTATAACGTATATTGATACGTGGGAAATACACTTCGCTATAAATATAATATATAGTATTATGTGCACTAAAAACATGTATTAAAAAAAAATTAAAGTTTAAACAATTTCGTTTTAAACAAATCCATATCTACAATAGGCATTGATAATAAATTATTGATTAAAAGTGGCTTATCTTGTGTTTAAAAACTTATTCAAAATTATGTTTTTCGATACCCCTGGTGCAATAATTAATTTTATATTTTAATTTATCTATTAAAATTGTAAAAGGAATACAAAAATATACTTGAATATCGTTAAACATTATATATCAAATATATTCTAATGTAACGAAATCATTAAAGTATACCTAAAGAAATTTCACATTTCAAAACTCTACATACGAGTAGATATTTTGAAACGAGTTTTATATCACTAAGTATTGTTTTGGTAAATCTAGTAGGAATGTGCAATGATAAATCCCGAACCCTGGTTTTTGTATACACGCGAATAGTAAGATATGATTACACATCAGATTAACAGCTGAACCAGAACAGCATCTTATAGATAGTTTTTTTTTAGTTATTATGTTTTTGGTTTTATTTCCTCCAAATAAAATAATTTAATATTTTATTATGTAGCTAAGTGCATTTTTATATTTAATTTAAACGTCATGTACTTAAAGTGGTATAACGTACACAAAAATAAATACTATGGATAGTAATTTAGAAAACAATAAATGAAAATCTTGTTTTTATTACATTGTAAATGTAACTATTAAAATGACCACTGTTAAATTTTCAAACAATAATTATTTTGTTTATCAATGTTAGAAAATAATGACTATATACTACTCGTATTTACGTTTTTATTCTTTTGAACTAAACTGAAAGATATTAAAGTTTACCTTTACTACTCTAGGTAATATACTATTATATTATCATGTAAATATGATTTTTAAATTATCACTTTATTGAAGAAAAGACCACGAAAACTTTCCAATTTTTTTCTATTTGAAAAAAATGGGACCCCGAGTTATGAGTACCTCTATCAAAAAAAAAAGCAATCCATTCCTTTGCATTAGCTTCTAAAAAACATGAATACTAAAAAAAAATTACTGCAAACAAACGTAGGTATACGGTGAAAAGAAAACGAACTGTTATTGCTCATACATTATTTTTATTAATATTCGATTTTAAATGAAAACGAAAGAGGCGTGCGTTACCATATTATTAAATGACACATACGCGTTTGGAAAACGCAAACGTAACGTATATTTACAGACAACTATTATGGATAACAATGATTCGTTGGGTGCGATTCTGTGTTTACGGCACACTTTGTACCGCGTTCCGCGATCAATAATAATATCGTGCGATGCTTCGGGTAGGTCACAAGAACAGCGCATCGGAACGCTAGTGCACAAAATGCGTGTGTCCGGTTCGTTGAAATCTCTGGCGTTTCCGTGCACGCGTTCGCGCGGCATAGACGCAACTAGTTAATATTATATTTTATTATATTATGACTGAAGATAGACTATCAATCATTATGTCTAATTAATGTATATCATAAAGTAGATATTCTACATCAAATAGATCATATTATTGATATTTTTGCCAATTTTATAGATGACTTGAATTTATGTTTAAAACTTGTTGTTTTCTTTTATAAGATTTTGTAAAATTATAACTTGCTCTTCCCTCCCTAACCAAGGCTATGGAGCCGCCTCTGGCTGTTCTGAATTTTGAGAGAATTGTTGTTTACTCGATAAATAATGAAGATATTTAAGAAGTGTACTGTACTAAAGACAGAAAATTCGTATGAAAACAAAATTAAAATTGTAGATATGTATATATGTATTATTAACTCGTGGCTATCATAGTTGTACACTAGAAGCTAATAAGAAAAAAAAAAAACTTGTGAACTACGGTGGATTTGTATTAGGGGGGGGGGGGGAAATAATGAGGGCTAGGCTTGCAAAAATGTAAACGGACCCTATAAATATTAGTATTGATACATGGGGGCGTAGCCGCCGTGGAATAAACCCTAGTTGCGCCTATGTCGCGCGGGAAAATTGTGTTCGGTTCCGTCAGCACGCGCGGTGTCGTCGTCGACTGCGGTCGTCGTGGTGAAAAATTGTTTCCGACGGGAAAATAATCACCCCACGGCACGTGCCGCCGCGCAGGTGTACGTGTACGCGGATAGTATTGTTCGGAAGATAAATATCGATTGGCTTCTGGAAAGCGACCGGGGGGAAGAAAGTAAAAATCGCGGTCCGCCGGATACGAGAGGGCGTTATCGATTGCGGGGCCGCGCGGAAGTGCATTAGCGACTGTCCCGCATGCGTAAATTGTGCACCGTCAGTGAACGAAAACAAAACGCGAATCACGTCCGCGTATGGCTGTGCGCACGTCGTCTTCGGTGCCGCCGGTGAATCTCGAACGGGCACCTACGCGGAAATCGTGACGCACGCCCGAGCAAACGAGCCCGTGACGATCGGTGTACGGTATGCGCCGAGACCGAACGACGTATAATACACTATCACCACGACGTGCCCATAACTCGGCGAAAATACGCTTCGTTTCATTTCAATACCCCAAGTTTATCGAGTACCTAATCATTTATTGCACGTTCAATGTCGGTTGTACTTTGCTCCATGCCACCACGTCTATATACATCTTCCAAATGTTATCAAATGATTTCCTTATGTAACATAACAAATCTAAGGAATACGGAATAATATCGATTAAAAAAAATGTCATTTATATAAATAACGACCGCCCTACTACATATACCATAGATTTGATACAGGGATAAATAGCCCCTCCGTCTCTACGGAGAACAATTGCAATGTCCTTTCTTTACCCCGGAAAAACCGCAGTTGTGCACATCTCGCGGAGTAGTTGTATTCGATACTATCCTTATACGTTCTTTTACTATCTATGACGGTGTAATATACAGCTAATGGCTCACAAATATCAGTGTTCTATATGACAATATATATATATATATATAACTAGAATGTTACGATTCTGGTAAATACCGTGAAAAAGGAGACAAGTATATTAAAGGATATTATATAGATTCGAATTAAACGTGATGAAAATAATTATAGTTTATTTAGGTTTATCGTACGATTAAATGCAAAACATTGAAATTCACAATGTTACATTATAATGATGTTCCTCTGGATAAACGGAAATTTTAATTTTTTTTTTTAATAAAATAATAACTCTTCGCAGCATAGGCCATATGGAATCTACAAATTATTTTTAAATTATATTACTTATATACATTGTAAGGTTACAGATAAATGTAATTGTTAATAAATTGTTTTATTTAAATGTTATTTAATAATTTTGAGGATACGATGGATTCGATCATTAATTTCATGGATTCTTGACAATTTTGGAGTGATGTGAAAATATTCTCAGGGAGAATGATATTTTTTCTGTGGGATTCGTAGTGGAGGAATTCCGTTTGTATTTGATACTTAGTTCAGTTTGGCACATGTTTAGCAAACTGGAGGTTCTTCTTGGTTCATTAGGTAATTATTGGAAATTTTCATGTGGTCAATACGCAGTCTGTTAAAGATATTTTTTTTACAAATGTAAAATATTAATTTATTTCTGTTAAAATAGACCAGTTTTGATAAAAAAAAAAAAAACTTTTAAAAACTTTTGATATTAAATAACTTATTTATTGCAATTAAACTTTAAATTAATTATTCGACTGATCGGTGTAAACATTAATGTTCAATTATACTTGTTTTGAATAATGATCCTGAAAATTGTTTGCATTTATAGAACCTGATTTTTCTCCTGGTACACTCGCATTACTAGGTCCACCCGACTGTTAAAAAACCAGTCGAACAGGTAAAATAGATAAAATTGAAAGTAAAATACTAAATATTATGAATATAGTATTTCAACACAAAAAACTTGTGTAAAACATGGCATATACATATGTATCAAGGTCGATTTAGTGTTTTAACAAATATGGCATACTGCGCTGTAATAACAATATTCCATTTCGAATAGTATGTTTGTATTGGAGTAAAAAATTAAAGTTATATACTAACATCACGGCTGACGGAATAATGGAAAACAGCTTTTACGTATTTATATCGTACAGGTTCATGTACCGATAGAATTTTTATTAGAAAATGTCCTAATGGATTAGGTATTCAATGATGAATCAAATAAAAATATTTCATTATAATATAAATCCTATTATTTACTAAGAATCCGACGTAATTAAAAAATCCATTGAGTGGAACGTGTGTAGAAAAAGCTTCTACCGTAAAGTGTTTATGAAAAAATGGTCATTATTCCGGTACGTTGATACATGTGGTTGAGAAAATATATTTTTTAACTATTTTATATGAAATAAAAAACATCTCTAGAAAATGCAATTTCTTCAATTAGTAAAATTATTATACAATTTACAGTTTCGTAAGAAAAAGCGCTCAATAGTAGTTGCTAAGTATTTACTTCCTAGTGGGATAGTTATAGAAACATACGGAAGTACGAGTAGGTCCACGAAAACAGTTTTAAGAGGAAATAGTATTTATTCAAATTACATATATATTAGATAATGATGCTGAAACACAATAATATGCGTCTAATTACGAAGTAAATATAAAATATAAAATTTAGAAGCTTTCGTGTTTATTCAAGAAACTTATTTAAATATTTGAACGAAACGTACAAATTTGTAATAATGTAAATAATAATTGGCTTTTAATATGGTATTATTAAATTGTATTTTATCAATCGCCTTTGTTTGTAAAATAGTTTTCAGAACTTAATGGAATAGAAGTAAGCGCAAAGTTCTGATTTAATACAAAGTTAGTTGGTAGTAAATAATATAACACGGACTGGAAAAATTAATTTTAAAGATTCAGGTGTGTTATTTTGCTTTTACTTCATTAGACGTGTTTGACAGTACAGAATCTAGGGGCAACGAGTTGAAATCGTTGGTATTAAACTGTATAATGAGTGGTATCTCATTATCGACTCTGGCGCACCCCACGATGCCGTTTGACATTGTTTGACATCGATCGAGAAGATGAAAACAAAGTTCAAGTTATCATTGTCGAGCTTATTCTTTAGTACTTTTAGTTGACAAGATGATTTTAAAGAGTTGCTTTTATTTTAATTTACAGCCCATTCAATTATCATTTATTGGAATTGTCGTTAAGAGTAGAGAGGTAAATTGCTATTATATTTTGTTCAATACTCAGTGACGGCAAAACAAACAGCGGAATATCGATTGTAGAATAAAAGGCATTTTGAACGGCATCAAATTAACTCATTACAAACAAATGCAAAAATGTCTGATTGTAACTACGAGAAGATCGGGACTAAACCAGTTGTGTAATAAAATCAACTAATTCACATTATGACTAATAATAATATAATAATATATTTATACGATTTAATAACATTTATGGAATATAATTTATTGGAAGACAATGTTTACGTTTATATTTGGAAAGCGTTTGTTCACTTTGGAAGACATAATATTTTTGATAGTTTAAAATAATAACATTAAAAATTATTTTACTCATATACGGTATGATTCGATAATATTGATGTTATAATAATAAATATTATAATTATTATTATTATGGGTATATTATTATAATATATATATATTTCTATACGCCGTGAAACTCATTTGGTCTCGGCTAAAACTTGACGTAGTCTATCGAGGAACATGTGAGCGTGTTGAGGTTGGAAGATTAATGCCGGTCGCATTCTGATGCCTGCCACTCCACATCCTCCGGATTGGACTCCTGCCATAGACAAAAAAAAATTGTTACGTCTCAAACAGTATCAAATTCAAAGATATGTATTATAGCCTTATTCTAAAGTCATAACATATCATGTAAGAGAAACTAAGAATTCGATTTTTTTTTTTTTAACGAGATATACAAAACAATAATTGTATAATTATATAATATAATATAATAATATAATTATTATATATTATTATTTTTTTATTATACATATTTATTATTATTATATAATTATTATATATCAAACATACTATATACAAATAATAAATTTACAAATTGTATAAAACAGTATTCTGAATAATAGTTATGCTATCATATTTACCTATTTATTAAAATTATATTTCATTATTCAAAACTTAATATTAAAATTGTAAAAAAAAAATTGTGTTTTTACTCTAAAAAATTTGTAAAAATAGAAATTTTTTATTGTATTTTTTTAATGATTCTAAGATCATCAGTGGTGCCTTAGTGCGTACCTATCTATAATATAACTATACTGACTGACCTTTAGTTAAAAGTCTTTTGACAATGTCGTCCCGGAGTTTAGGGTTAGCTGCGTCAAATGTGATAAACGTGCCACGTCCTCTGGTAGAGTTGATTAGGGCCGAATACTCGGCTTCCAAGTCTCTGATGCCGGACATGAGTACTTCACCAGATTTTTCAACTACCGACAACAGATTATCTCTCTTAATCACCTTCAGTATAGCATCGAGCAACACGATTTTTGTCGGGTCTCCCATCCAAGTGTTAAACACGCGGTATGGCAGGTCGGGCCTGAAAAAAACGTATATCGAATGTAATGAAACCGATTTCAGGCAAACACATAATACTAATATAGTATGTTGTGCGATATTTTGTCGAAAAGCACCGAACAACTTTTTCTACGTTTTCGATCGAATATTCAAATTCAAAACACTCTTTCGTGTATGAACTAGGCCTAATGTGTTTGTAGGAAATCCGTGAGCGGAAATTTGGTGAAATTATTGGGGGAGCTGAGCATTATTTGCTTATTCTACCTATAGGTACTACTGTACGCAATTATTTATTTCAACAATGCAATTTTCAAAAATTGGAAATTTGACATACTCAACAATTTCACCAAAAAAACAATTAGGTGCTTTATCTTAAGCATTTTTTGGAATAGGTATTCTAAACAGAAATTATTAATTAATTCAATTGAACAACCAATGCGGGTATTATTACATATTATTAATATTATATTAATTACGATCGTTCCAATTCATGACAATAAGTTTGTAAAATCTTACGAATTTGATTTAATTTTTATCACAGAACATTTTTTTTTAATTCAGTTATTAAAAATGCTTTTTACAATTATAATAATTATTGAATTTTTAGTCATTTAACAATTTTTAGGGCTAGCGGGGCTAAGACCTGTACTTTACATTTCTGGGAGAGCTTAGTCATCACCAATCTGAGTTTTATTATATGCAGAAGTATGTAATATTTCATGTGCTCTATAACACTTAGCCACCTTATAGTATGATTTCACAACTCTACACCTGGATATTTTTATACCCTGAGAATTTGCATACAGATTTAGTGGGGTGTTTTTTTACTTGGATGTAACTCATTTACCTATTACATGATATTATTTTTTTATCAGACTGTGGTTGTTTAAACTGAAATACGTTTTAAAAGTTAAGTCGATTAATGTAATTATTACATTTTCATTAGTATGATAAAATAGCCGTCACTGATAATAATAATCTGTGCTCATAAAACATGTTGATGCCAACGACCTTGAAGTAGATTAACCGTCGAAGTGGGGCGAAGTACTCTGTTTACACATTTTTCCAGTTTCTCATGAATTAACTTCTTTAAATTTACAATTAATCGGTTGATAATTGGTTTATGAATTACAAATAACACTTATGTGTTCGCTGTTATGAAGAGGGCATTTGCGCTTAGTATTAATCACTTATTTAGTCGCCGATAACGTATTGATCACGTGTTTCCCATGGCACTTATTTTTTTTTTTAAATAACATATTCTTCCCGGAGCATAGAATTTTTTTTGATTTACAATTTATTATTGAGTGGAAAACATTAATCTCGTTCGAACATATTATGCCAAAAATAAGAACGCTCAAACACATTATTCTAAATCGTCAAAATGCATTGGAATTTGAACAAACTTTCCTAAACGCAAATTCACTTTTTGTTTATTCGACCGGTTTAAAGTCGTGAAAACCATACCATTTATAAAGATTCAAGTGAAAACAAACGCCCTAAAAAAAAAGAATCAATAATAATATAAATATATGTTACTCGATGCCTTTTTGAATCGACTGTGTTAATAAACGCCCGCGTGACAATATTGTCCGTAAGCGCATATGATGATAAGTACTGCATATCAGTGTTTTCCAATCCATGGGCGACGGAATTGCCTTGATAGGCTACAAACAAATTTCAAGAATTATAACATGAACTCATATTAAATTTAAATTATAGTCACGAACTTTTAATGTAAATTAGAAATAAGTTAAGTTGATATGTAACAAAAACAAAACAATGCCTAGAAGTACTGACATAAGACTACTTCATGTCGTCTTAAACTGACAATCATTGGCAGTTTCTTATAAGATATTTGCCAGTTATACAGGAAAAAATGAAAATTTGTATTTAGCTCCACGACTTGAAAAACACTGATGTGTAAAGCGCATGCGTAATAGTATTACAAGAATTCCGGCTTCGAGTAGTATCCGCCTGTCTGCATTTTCTTGCTGAACGTCACTATGTCGGGCGGAGATTCCAGGTCGAAATGTTCGTGGCACCACATTTTTCCGGTTGGTCCGCCGCCGGTCTGTACCTCATCTATTAGATAGCCCGCGTTGTACTGTACTCAAGAACATAATAGAATTATTAAAACATTTGACAATTGGTTTTTTATTCGTATATTTTTCGTATGCTATATTTTTTTAGCGATCTTCTGTAATTTCTGGAAGAAGTATGGTGAGGCGTGATTGTCTCCGCCTTCCGACTGGATGGGTTCGATGATGATTCCGGCAACAGGGCAACCCTTCTTTTCCCATTTTTCTATGAGTTCCTCCACCTGCACGGGTTTAAACAAGGTAAGTAAACAGATAACGGTTCAAGAACTTACTGTAGGAATGCTCTATTTGCAAACATTGCGTGAACAATTTTTTTATAACAACATTAATAAACCCATGAAAAGTGCTGTTTAAAACGGATGTTTATGACGTAACAAAAGAAATATTTAATTTTTAACGAGTATCCTGACTTAATATTCAATATAACATAACAATATATAACGTACGTATGCCACGGTGTAATAATTGTAACGAAACCAAGTAAATCTGAGATGGGTTTTCGTCTTAAGCCGCAGGCCGCAGTGATACGGTTAAATTACTCGTATTAGACCCCCCCCCTTTCTCACCAGAACATTTTTTAATTGAACAAAAATCAGAGTAAATGATGATTCGTTCAATTTTGAAGTTAATCTGAATAGTGTATTTTACCCATGGTTATGGCCATCTCAACCTCTCCTCCGCAGAAAAATGATCGACATAAACGTAAATCATTATCCCGAACCCGGGACCATAACACTGGTGCTGGTCGCGGGCTTCGTTCGCACAGGCAAATATAATATGTATAATATAATATATATATATATATATATAATTTTATATATATAATACAATTGTTTATCAAAATGTTTATTATTCATATTTATATAGATAAGGTGGCTCACGTCGGCCAAACAGCGTTCGTCCTCCTTTTCGTTCTCAGCGAGGTTCTCGTGCAGCGGATACTTGTACACCGGGAACCTTGCTATCGGCCAGTCGAACGCTGGCACGTCCAGCTTGTGCACGTACTTGGAATGCGTGGTGCTCAACGCACCCAATGTACGGCCGTGAAACGAGCCCGAGAACGACATGATGGACAGCTTCGGCGCACCCGGCGGCATGTTGATCATGCACGACTCCTTCTCCAAGTCAGTGAAGTCCGAAGTCCCGCCTCTTTTGTCCCGCATGTACTTCATGAACATGTTCTTGTACGCGTTCTCGTTGGAGCACGACCCGCACATCATGGTCGTTAGCGAATTCAGTCCCTTCGGGGCTACCTGTACGCGGCAGCAGAAATGCACGGGTTATTGATTATTACGCATGCATTTATAAATGAAAAATGTTCGTAAAAATATTTTATTCGTAAAATCCCACTATTGGTTCGCCGTCGTGTTGCCATTACTATTGTAATGCAAGAGGATTATTCAAATACTCAGACTTTTCAAGACAAAATTGCACTTAGATATATTGTGAACGATTTAAACACTTACGCTCATCAGTGTGTTGCGCAACTTCGCTGGCCAATCTCCTGCTGGGAATACGCCTAACGCCGGACGGTTGACAACGGCTCTCTGTATATGTGAAAATGAAAAACGTATTATTTAAAGCATTAAAAGCTTATTCGCTGTGTAAATATATTTGGTGCGAAATGTGTTCGATACACAATAAATGCAATCAATAATTTAAAACACACGAATACGAATTAATTGCAATGATTTTCTTTTTTCTGCCCGATAATACATTTGCACCATAAGTCCCATGTTATACTGCAGTCTGTATCGAATATAACTATTGCATTTCGATTGTTGATGAATTTTATTTTTTATTTTTACGGTTTTGCATGCTATTCTCAAAAAATAAACTTATTTTTGAAAATCATCAGATTTCACATAAATTCACATTGTATCGTATACACGTATACACGCACGTAGGGCCATATTTACGCTTCGAGGCCCGTACCATAAAAAAAAAATTCTTTTAAAATATTTGTGGGCTCCTTATATGATACAATCAAGAAAAAAAAATAATAATTTTGAAAAATGTAATGAACATTATAGGAGAGTCCAGTTTTTCTACCAATTTATTAGGCTAGTGACAAACGTGTAGCATTATTATGGAAAATTGGATGTATTATGGAAATTAACGTCAATGACTGTTTTTTTAAGATCGAACTCGCTTTCAGAATGTACCTCTAATCAATAGTTACGAATAATAGTAGAGAGAGCCGATTTTCAAAGTTGATATTTATTTAATTTTAATTTTTAATTTCCAAGATAACGCTATCGGTTTTTGCAAATTGGTATTAGGTATATAGCAATATAAAGAGATATCAGTGTACACAAGCATTTCTAAGCATCGGATAATAGATTACAGTATTAATTGCAAAATAAATAATGGTAAACTTAAAAATATAAATGTAAACAAGGGTGAAGATTACAGTAGATTGGCAGACATAAGCATTCCGTTAATGGGATGATTATGGCAGAAGGAAGTGGAATGAGTTGAAATATAAAAAAGATTATGATTCCGAACATAGTATGAAGGGACTTTAAATAAAATTTAAAATAGTAAATCCGGTGAATCAATAAAATTATTAAGAAGGGCATTAAGAAACTGTAAATGAACATGATTGCGGCGTAAAAACAATGAAGACATATTTAAATAATAGCTAATATTGAAATAATTATGGTGAAGCGATGGTAATTTAAGGATAAAAGCAGCAAAAGATCATAATATATGTTGGACTCGCTCAAGACGTAAATTAATTTTTGCAAGGTAATGGTGCTAGACAACAACCCTATATTTGGGAATGGATTTAACACAGTGTTTCCGACCTTTTTACTACCACGGACCACTTTGATAATATTTTATAGGCGTGGACCACGTCTTACGAAAACTAGGAAGACCTTTTTTATTTTTTTTTGCTCATTACAAGAATACACAAAATTAATCGAAAAATTAAAAACGTACTGCATAGTAATCAAGCAAATAACGAGCACATACTAAATCAATATCCATTACCCATTATTAATCTGTATTCATAAAGTATACTTACATAAGCTACGATATTTGCAATTGACATAATTATTATTGGTCACGATAATATTATTTTTTACTCAGATACTTACACACTTATAAGTAGAAAATACTTATCGGTCGTCTACAGCAACAACGATAATAATATATATACGGTTCCTCAATAAATCGTAATATTTCATTAAAAAAAAAAAAAAATAGTAATAATAATTTATCATAAAAATCGAAGAAAAACTTTATAGGACCACGGACCACCTATGAATGGCCCACGGACCTCCGGTTGGGAAACACTAATCTAACAAGAGCAAAATACAGTGAATAGAAACATTTGATGAAAATAGCTTAATATTACATTTAATAAGTCCTAGAACCTTTAGTAATCTAACCTTTATGGCCAGTAGTCATATCAATATAAGGGCTAAAAGAAAGAGTGGAAGAGTAATAATACCGAGATATTTGATAATAGAGACCCGTTGTAGCTAAGTGTTGTTAAATTTATAGGGGAAATGTATAGACTTTTTTGATCTAGAAATTGATAAATAATCGGTTTCGGACTTCCATGCTAGATGAAAAATTTTAACTCTGATGATCATTGACAGAGATATTTAAGACCACTAAAAATTGGAAGTTATTACAAAAGGTTTCACTACCATTATAGATGGACGTAAATAAATTGACCACTAGGTAATTTACTTTAATGATTATTTTTCGTTAGATATACAATGTATATTGTAAGTAATTAATATGTTATATATATATACATATATTATTTATTAAAACTATATTTAATAATTAAAAATATGTTTATTTATTAAAAAACAATATCATATTGTATATAACAACGGATATTGACTTTTGGATAAATAATACTTTTCATAAATTGTATAATATTATATTAACTTTTTTTATTATGAAATATTAATAATTTATTATATTTAATTTAATTTAAATTTTTTATTTTGTACTTAATAAATTTAACATATGTATTCCTAGATCCATCTTTAGATGAACAGGGGTGCAAAAAAAAA